GTTCATTTACACTCAGGTGTTTTCACGTCGCCCGTGACATAACAGACTTCCAAACAGTCTGTCTACTCTCTCAATTGAATCTGACACTTTGGAATCCCCCAGAATATGTAAACATATACGTTTTAGAAAGGGGGATGAAAAATAGAAAGGGATACATAGAGAATGGGGCAGGATTGAGGAGCTATAATAGAACAGTCTCTAACGAGATGGATAATTTGATAATTTGAGTTGGCCAAGGTTCTGAGCATTGCTCCGAATCTTCTACCACCTGGGTTAAGATCTGAAAAGTTATCTTTAAGAAGCTTTAAGAAAAGATCTGGGAAAATACCTCACTCTGATAAGGTAATTGCCTTCAAGCACAAGGACCTGAGTTCAATCCTTAGAACCCACGTATTAATAAGGTAAACATGTTGGTACCCACTTAAAATCCCACCATTGAAGAGAGGCAGAACCCTCAAGTTCACTGACCAGGGAGTTCTAGATGAGTGAGTCTCAGGCCAGTGGTAGAACAGGTCTCAAAGAAAAGGATGAAAACCATCTAATAAACAGCACCTGAAGTTGTGTTCTAGCGTCTATACACATACATACATGTATACAGCACACACACACACACACACACACACACACACACACATTAATAACTGTAGTTCTTCCATTAGTCTGGCTCAAACCTGTTGAAAATGTTGATTCAAAGTTGACTGAATACTATGAAAACACCTTTATTACAAAAAGGAGTGCCAGGATGAAGTGATGGCTCAGTGTTTAAGAGCACTGACTGCTCTTCCAAAAGACCCAGGTTCAATTCCAGCACCCACATGACAGCTCACAACTGTCTGTAACGCCACTTCCAGGAGATCTGACAACCCTCACATATACATACAAGCGAACAGAACCAATAGCAATAGATACATAAGATAAAAATAAATAATTTTTTTAAAAAGGAGTACCACATACATTTTGAGCAAAGAGCTGATGACTTGATACACTTTCTAGATTGGCTGGAAATAATAATATGAACATGAAAATAAAAGGAAAAAAAACAACTAAAAGAAAAAGCACAACAGAACAAAATGGCAAACATTTCTTACGTTTCCTCTACTGAATGAAGAACAGGATTCTCTAAACCCACAACAAATATTTGAATTCAAGACAAGACACTTTGTAAATACCCCCCAAGACAAGTGGCAATTGCTCTTCATCGCTAAGACGCAGAGAGCTTTCTGAGTACACGAGTAACTGTGAAAAGATTTAAACTGAGGTGTTCTGTATATTTCATAATTGATTCACCTATAAAACGCGTAACAAAAGTCTTACGTACAGGCTAGATTTTAAACTATATCCAGAGACAAAATAATTACCTTCTGAAGTATAGAAATACTGCTAAAAGACACCCCCAAAGATTGCATCGAATTGCTAGCCCAGTCCCTCACCACTAAACTACGTAGTACCACCTATATTTCGAGTTAATTGGGATTTGGGGTAATCAAGAAAAAGACCCAGAAAAAGCAATGCCCCTTGGTTTCCTGCTGCAGGATATTCCAAATGTCTTTTGTGTATTCCATCAAATGTCCTGCACACAGATAGTCACTGAGAGGGACACATGGAGAATGACTTTAGGTGGCGGCTGTCTCTCAACCTCAGAATGGGGATACCATGTTCACAGCCCCTTCTTGGGCAGCCAGCACACAGGGAGAGGACAATATGGGAACACTACTGCCCAGATCCTTGACTCCAATTTGGGGCTGAATCTGAAGGGTCCTTTCAGGTTCAGAACACCTGAGATCTTCAATGGAAGTAACTGATTCCTGCCAGAAGACCTAAAGCCTCCCTTTTTGTGCTGACCAGAAAGCATTGTCTCATGAGTTCCCTTCATGATAACCCTAACTTCATAGCCCGTCAGCCCAAGAGGGAAGAACCTGAAATACTCAGCAATCTTTTTAAACATCTCTTTATAGAGAAATAAACAAAACAGAAACTCAGGGCTGTTGAACCAGGTTGGAACAGGAGATACAGGACCAACCAAAACTGACATTAAGTTCTCACCGAGGACTATCTGAACTAACACATTTTCTTCTTCCCATTGGAATTACTACATTTGTTACCTACATATGCAGGAATGGAATCACAGCCCAGGGCCCTAAATTCTACAGGGGCTGAGACACAGGGAAACCCAGATTCATCCTGTAAACAGCTTAAATCCCAAACCAGATAGTCAAGCACCACAGTTGTCTGACTGTTATGCTGAGAAGGCCATCAAATAGATCCTAGGCAAGGGGGCAGACAGGTTAAGTTTTGCATGTTGGAACACAGGCTCTTTCTTCTGTAAACTCTGAGGGTCCAGCAGATACATGGACTCTTCAAGCCTCTCTCAAGGTGTATGGAAAGAAGGCAGGGTCTTGCTTCTCTTCTGTTGCATATGATGCCCTTGTGTAGCTGTCCTTGTCTCCACTATAGTACTATTGTATAATGTGTCTTGAGCCATTATGGTTAACAATTAGGGAGCTATGCAAAAGTGTTGCTGTTGAACAAAAATGAGCGATTTCTGTTTGGTCCTAGTTATAACATTTTCAAGGTATCAGAAGGGTTCATGGCCAGCTAGTGATGAGGATAACCCCCATGATGAAGAAAGGACCCTAGGAGAGATAGAAGTAACAGTTTCCAAAGGATCCCAATGTCAGAGAGGACAGCCAGTATGACAAGTGACGTGTTTCTACACACACAGAGTGGCTACCTATTATAGAGCAAGAGCAGAATTGCCTGTGGTGCCTCAGTAACTTCTTCGTGCCCACGATAGCATGTGTTTTGAAAGCACAGTATTGGACCATCCACATTGTAGATCGGCGGTTCTCAGGCTGTGGGTTGTGAACCCTCTGGGGTCACATATCAGATACTCTTCATATGAGATACTTACATTACTATTAATAATGTAACAAAATTACAGTTATGAAGCAGCAACAAAAATAATTTTATGGTTGGGTCACCACAACATGAGGAACAGTATTAAAGGGTCGCAGCATTAGGAGGGTGCCCTGTCCTAGCTTCCTTTTGGCCATGGGGCCTTTTTCTGCCCCATGCAGGAGGCGCACCACAATTTAAACAGTTTCAATCCAGAATGGTCTGACGCCTTCTCACATCAGAGTGGCTCATCCTGCCCTGTAAAAGGAAGCCCAGTGCTCTTGGGATCAGGGAAGCACATATGTCTTCCCCTCTCTGACCCCATTCTCACAAATCTCCCCTCATCCCAGGAGAGGCTCTCTCTTAACTGGAGCTGTAGGGCACTATGGGATTCACCTTGGACCCTGGCACATAGACGGCAAAGACATAAATGGGACTCATCCTGACCGCCCAAGGTTCATCTGCTATTTTCTGTAGTAATAGCTCAGCTTTGTGTATAGCCTCACCTTTAAAACCCACTCACACACATTAGCTCAGGAAGACCTCTCTCTGCCTGGCAAGGTGAGCAAGGGCTTGCTGTATAAGCCACACTTTTTTTTTTTTTTTTTTTTTTTTTTTTTTAGAAAGAGAAATTGGAACATGGGGTTGAGTAAAGGGCATTTTTTTTTCCTGCAGAGAAATCATATAAAGGAATATAAGCTGATTCAAAGCAACTTACATATTTAAAACTATAACTATTGTTTTAAAAAGAAAGATAGAAGCCTGTGCAGAAATTCCTGGAAATAATCGCCAGCCTAATTATGAGCATGAGATAAGTCTTGAAGCTTAAACTCTCCCTTAAGAAAAGGTTAGAGAGAGAAGCTCTATTCAGGGGCTAAGAATAGAGGAGGAAGGGAAAGGAACCACAGGGAGGGCAACTGATGGGAATGTGAAGAAGGGGAAGTCTGTTAGTCTAAGTTGAGGAGGAACGCTGCACACAGTCTGGACCTGCAAAAGTGACTAAGCTGTGCCTACAACACACAAGGGCAGTTTAGTGTTCCAGGGACCACATTCATGAGCCGCTCTTCTTCCGCAATGTCAGCTCGACTCCCCTGGGAAACACGAAACCATTTTAATGTTCTAATATCCATGCATTGTGCGTGTGTTTCTCAGAGGCCAGTGAGGGCTCCATTTGCCAGAGGCCAAATGAGAACAGGCCACTGCTTAAGAAATGGAGCCCTTAGTCCCGTGTGCTCAGGTATTGTGAGTGGTGGAACTGGAGTTCTGAAGAGCATGAGAAATCGACCTGGGAAGTGTCCACGGTCTGGAGTTTGCTATGTGGCCACACAGCAAGTGGTCACTCCCTTGAGTAAATCTTCCTATCAGATTAAGAAGGGACATGAGATTTTCCTATGCTGATTTTTTTTTAATGCTTCCAAATTATTCTTTTAATTCTGTATTTGAACATGTATCACCTAAGGATGCCAAGCAACACTTCTGAGTTAGCTGCTTTCCAGAGAACCAGTGGTCTTAAAGGGTCCACTGCTCTGGGAGATGAGGGGAGCGCTGAAGTTCCCTGAAAATTGCTCTAGAGACAAAAATCTCTTCCTCAAAAGACCCATTCTGACAACTGACAACAACAAACTGCCTCATGAGCTTCATCCACTTCCTTGGTTCACAGGGAAGCAATCCACTTTAATGCAAACACTTCAGCATAGAACGCTTTGGAAAGTAAGGATCTGCAGACTGCATTTCTGACGGGCTTCTGGGAGACCCAGGGAAGCCCCCAAACCGTCTCTGTGGGACAAAGACATGAAGAAGAGGCTTCCTAGTTGTTATTTTGTGAACTCAATGGAGTTAGCCAAACATCTCCAGGCTTTAGCCATTATTGTTCCGGCAGGTAATTTGTGCCTGAAATAACACTAATTCAATGTTACTAATGAAAATGAAAGCTAAATAAGGAAAAGCAACAAATGTTTAGGCTGAGGCTGAAGGAAAAATATGGAACTCTCACAGGTGAGTTTTATTCCTACTTCTTTTATAATATTTTGGACAGATAATATTTTGGTTGCAATAATCAGATAAAAGTGCAAACACATCTGACACTGCATCTTTGTTGAACGTACCTGCAGCCCTTCGATGGCCAGTTTAAGGATAGAAGGTGTCAGTTTGGAGGCTTGTTTGAAGGAAAAATTACTCCAGTCTATAATTAAGATGAAACCATTTATCTGAAGCTCAGGATCTTCAATGAGCACTTCCAAGGACAGAAGAATGGCACGGAGGATGTCTGTGAAGGAGTTTCTGCAGCCAGAAAAGAAAGGAAAACCATGTGTGAGTCAGAGACTAGACAGACGACACACTGTGGAATGGCTCTGGTGTCCTCGCCCCACTGCCCCATGAATCCTCCATGCAGAGTCACACTGAGGTTCTATCCCCAGAATGAATGAAAATACTTCTGCTGAACATCCAAGATTGCCAGGATGGGTGCTCCCTTTAATTTGGTCACAACAGCACCTTAGACTTAACGAAATGTCTGCATCCCATGGCCCTGTGTGCTCTGCTTTCACTTCATCATTGTTCACATCTTACTGAAAAATATCCCTGAACACACATGCAACCATGCCCTGATACCCACAGAGCAGGGGTTTGGGCTATAAAGCTAGACAGTGTCTTCAGCACCTAGGAACTCAACAAATCTTTGATAAGCAAATGGAGTGAAACCTCAATCACGGGTGCTTATTTGGATTAAGTATCTTTTATTCCTTTTCTATGCTAGAACCGTGTAGACAGTGAAAGAACACCCATGCTATTGTTGCTCTGTTTTTAGTTTTGATTCATGAGTAGCAGAACAGAAAGCAGGAAGAACCAGCTTATTTTCACTTAAGGTCTACAGGTTGTGATTCCGAAGGGAAATCACTCTGAGTACCTCAGTAACTATGACAACAGGCAGACCTGAATACAAACTAGGATGATAGTTCTCCAGGGTTATGTATAAGCCTCCACATCGCAGATAGAAATCACTGGCTGGCTTTCATTTAAATGGTTTTCAGACAGGAAGAAATGATGGCATAAGGACATAAGCACTTGCAAATGAGGTGAACTGCAATTCCAACATGTTGCAAGGATTCTATAATCAGTGTCTTTGACGAGCTGGAAGATGCGAGCCTGGGTAGCAAATGTCTGTAGATTCTATGACTTCCTTCAGGTTTTCATTAAAATCAGAAACTTGTGAAGTCACTGTCAGAGGACTGGATTCCGAAGATGATCAGTCTGGTGTAGAACCCCAACCTAATGCCTACAGAGTAGAGTTGGAGCATGTATGATTGAAAGAGGTTACACACCTAGCGTGTCACTTACTACACGCCTAGTACAAGCTCCAAGTTCTGTTTAATGCCTGAGGTCATACGTTACTATGCCGCGCCTCTGCTTTCAAAGATGATCGCTGGTGGGGGATGGGAAATGCGCTATCTGAGTTTAGAGGAACTGATACCACTGGCTCAGTCTGGAAAGACTGTATGAGGAGATGATGGTGATGGTTTGGGATAAACCTTGAGTGAAGAGCTTTTGGATGGATTATTTAAATAATAGAAAGTGAGATCTTTCAGGACTGAAAAGAGACCTAAATAAAAATTTAAAAAATCAACAGCCCACTGTGTTTCTGCTCTTTACGTTCTTTCCCCCGATATCAAGATAAAATTTTCCTTCCTACAATATACCCATTAGATTAGATAGACCCAGTGTATGGGGAGGGGAGGAGTGCTCAGTGCTACCCACCTCATACTTTCAACTGTGCAAACATGCTGCTCATGGACCCGTATGACCTCTGGATGGAAATGGTTGCTCTTGATGACTCTTCTTATCATTATGCTTTCTTTTAAAAACACTGCCTATTTTAGAGATACTGTGTACTTAGAAACTTAGGGTAAATTTTAGTGGAGCTGGTTTTGCTTGTGGCTTGGATTTCAGTTTACATAATTACCAGACAACTTACTTATGTCAGAAATACACCTTTGTCTTCTGAAGAAATATTGCTTTAAGGGGAACACGGAACAAATCTATGTGTTTGGGTGATTTCAAATGGTAATATGGAAATATGTAGTGTAAGTCACTTTTTTGGAAATGACTATTGGGGTACCAAGGAATCTGAGCTTGGATGAGCTTTCTAAGCAAAAGCAAATCCAGAAAAACCAGAGAACCTGAGTCTTACATACACCCTGTAAATAGTACTGAAGGTGAGTAAAAAAGAATTAAATAAACAATGACAGGTAAAAAGATCAAGACAGGATGGCTTAACAAAAAGAAGAGAATATTTTAGTGCACGGTAACCTACATTGCTGTGTCACTGACCCCAAATCCTCATGTACTGCCTATTCATTAAGGGCATAGTTATTTATCTATTTGATTTCTCTTCATTAATTGCATGTAAGCAAACACAAAAGGTGGCCAGCTCTTAGTCTTGTTCTTCAAGGACAAGATCCTAGTCTTTTACCTTTTTACTAGTGTAAACCATTTACTAAGTGGTCAAACAACACCACAGCTCAAATGATGGGTTGAGAATGAGGCGCATACTGGAAAGTACCACCCAGCTGTCTCCATAGGAAGCAGAGATACCTGTCCGAAACGCGCATAGGTGAACGCCCCATAGATAGAAGAGTGACAATAAGCAATTGCTTTTTAATGCTGGTATGGTTTATTACGCATCAATAACTACCCAAGGCAAGAGGGTGGTTTTCAAACTCAGGGCAGCAGCAAGGTCAAGGAAAATAGGGGAGGAGAAATAAATAACATGTCCATAAATAGATCTTATTGTTGTTTAGGTGTTTGGATGATTGATTTTCTGAGACTGGGTCCAACTGTGAATACTAGAATGGCCTCAAATTTCCAATCCAACTTATTTCAGTCTCCCAAGCACTGAGAATATAGGTTGAAAGACCCTTCCTAGCAACAGAGTACATTTTGATGGAGTTTTGGGAGACCACGTTAGTTAATGATACTGGTAATGTTGAAGATATTTAGTAGACTAATTATCCTCTACCTTATTTTACTTCTTTAGTAAGAGATGTCTCTTCCCATAGCATATTCACTTGTGTCTGCTTCTAAGAAAGCACAGCGAGTTCTGTCCGGAAGCCTCTAAACCTATCTGCCAACCAAAATATCTAGAGCAGGCATCAGCAGGAAGAACAATGTCACAGCCACGAGGTGACCCCAGGAATAAAGTAAAAGGATTGTGGACTCAGTTTCCCTTCCAAAGTTCGAGGACTTTACTTTTCTGGATGAACTGATGGGCAGGGAAAGGGCAGGCAGAACAGGTGTTCTGATGGTTCGTTGCTCCTGAAGAGTATAGCCTTACAGCTTACCATCCCCAGAAATACACCCTTCGCTCTCTGAATTGTTGGCTTCCTCATATAATTTCCCCTTCCTCTTCTCTTTTTGTAATATGCTTCATTTGTGAAATACTTCTAGCTATTTGAAATTTAAAATAGTCATTAAACTAAATGATTTATGTGAATAATTGACCCTGAAGGATTTGGAGCATAACTTCCCACTCCATAAATACTTGCTGGGCATATTGACTCCTTTCCAAAGAGGAGAGCAAGGAAAGAAGTCACCACACAGTAGAAAAGGCTGAAGACATAGCCTGAGCCAGGGCACCAACGCAATATCACTGGAGAGAAACCACAGGGTTTTTTTTCTTGCTATGATGTTCAAAATGGTATTTTATTTCTAGAGCTCTCCTCCCCCACATCATACTGTCAGGCCAATAATGAGGGGAAACACCAAACACATTTCACTTAAAAGACATTCCACAAAACAGGTGACCAGTATTTCTCACGCTTGAGAAGTCTGTCAAAACACAAGGAAATTCTGAGCAGCTGTCCTAGTCAAAAGGGCTCTGAGGGAACATGACAGCTAAATGTAGCCTGGTCTCATCAATGAGATCCTGAGACAGAAGAGACATTGAGGTCTGAAGGATGTATGGAACATAGTGAATGGCAGTAGCTTAATTTAGCTATCTAGTTGTGACAAGTACTGCAGACTAACTGACTTAAGACGTTAATCCACATAAACCAGTCGCCTGCAGCTCACAGAGTAAGATCCTCTCTCTATGACATCCTCATCATACTTTGTATCTCTGAAATTTTGCAAATACAGTTATTTTTTTAATAAAATAGATCCACTGGAGCTTGTGGCCTGTCACCATGAATCTTTATGCTCTAGAAAGGTTTTTGGACAAATAAAATGGTCATTAAGAATTCAACCTGAGGCAAATTGTGGTTGTAAGAACAGAAATCATTTTTCAGGAGGTCTTCTGAACTAGACATGAATGTAGACATAAATTGTTTCACTCTAACAACCCAGAGGAAAAGCATTATTTTTTCCCCTGTAATCACAATTAGATCAGAATATTCTAGCATGTGTTTCAGAGTGAAATAACAGAAGAAAATGGGTATTTACGTTTCATCCATCCTTTCCAAAATTTGCATAGTCTTTGTATTGTAAGTGTTTAGTGCGAACAATTTTAACCTCACATGAAAGTACTATGTGATCTGCTAATTGGCAATGAAATGTAAAGAATTATCCTAAGAGGGTAAGCTCTTGAAAATTTTCCCATAAGGATTTGAGTTAACTAGGACTTAGCAGTGGGTTTTAACAATACTTTCATCATACTGAGAACACCTAGAGACTATGAATATGGCTTATTTTAAGTTTCTTTTGCTGTGTTCACAGTTTTATTGTTTTTTTTAAAGCATCAGCATTTAAGGCTTTAAAATCTAGTAACAAGTGAGAAATAAAATGGTATAAAATAGTGTTTGTCAATTAGAAGATATTTAACTTTCAAGAATTGACGACTTTGTCTTGACTTTGTAGGAGAGATTCTAAGACTTCGATCTCAAGGATGTAAGAAAAGGAGGTCACCTGTGCACAGATTACCTTGTAGGGTCATGAAGGGATTGTAAATAACACTTGTTGTCAGGAAGAATGGGCGAGAACTTCTCAGCCAGTTACACAAGCGCAGTGTGTATTCCTGAATTTTTCATTGTAGTAAAAAATCGTTAATAGTTGTACTTAAAGCTCTCGTGTCAATTCTAATATTTCCCAAACAATGTGGTTAAATGTCTATTAACACTTTCCTTAATAATTTAAAGGGTCATTCCTACTCCACCAGAGGCTAAGCCCACATCCTGAACCCCAAGGTAAGACCTCTCCCACTCTGCCAGTGCCTGCCTAGTATAACCACAATTGCCACTCTTCTCCTTGTCACTATATTCCAGTTCACACCTCTTATGGAAGCCTCTTTC